AGTGAGTTACCCTCGAGGTAGTTCGTAATTTGCATGTTGATAATGGTCTCCATTACCTTGGATATGACACTAAGGAGGGATACGGGGCGGTAGTTCTTGAGCTGTGAGCGAGATGAGCGTTTATGCACAGGAACAACATTGGCGAGCTTCCAGGCCTGAGGTTGGTATCCATGCCGGAAGCACAATGAGAAAAGCTTGGTCAGGACCGGTGCGAGCACCGAAGCGCATTCTTTCAGGACACGGGGGAGATGCTGTCCGGCCCCGTGGCTTTCGACGCGTCGAGACGGCGCAGGAGGCGGTGAACATTCTGGATGCGGAAGTGGACTTAGGTGAGTGGGGGATGTGGGTGAGCAGGCCCTGGGGTTCCAAGGGAGGCACGATGTAGGTCCCTGTCACCCAGGCTGCACTTGCCAGCAAAGAAGTGACCAAAGCAGTCAGCCTTCTCCTTGCTGGTAATGTGTTCCTTCCCGGCATTGTCGAGGAGGAGGGGGATGTCAGAGTTTCGGCCAAGACCGCATGCTCCTTTCAGGTTGCAGTATATAAATAGGATACTCGGTAGACATATTCCAGGTCATTCTTCTTTTCCATTGTGTACTGTTCCTCGTCAGTAATGCCGTTCAGGTCCGTTCTGTGTGGAGTGTACACGTGCATGTGGTGTATGTTGTGTCTTTTGTGAATGGTCCGTGCACTGGAGTACTGCCGTCGTACAAGTTCACTGCCTTTCAGGCAGTGAACTTGTACGATGGCAGTGCTCTAGCGTACGTACCGTGCTGCCACCGGGATTTATAGGGAGGTTCTGCTCTACGTTTTGGAAACGCGACGCAAAGAATCACGCGAACTTTCTTCGCGTTCCCGTAACGTAAAGAAATGCTGTTCTGCTCTACGTTTCACCTAGAGAAGTCACGTGGAATGTGTACTGGGAATTTCCCCTTCCATATTTGGCAGTTTTCTGCATGCAGTTGATCGATACCCAGCAAATCCGTACGCATTTTCTCTGCGTGTGCCACAACGTAGAGAACCTCATCTCCGCGTAGAAATCTGGAGCCAAAACCCGCGAAGCCGTAGACTCGAACCCAGACACCTGCTCTCTACGTGATTTCTCTACGCTTCACGTATAGCAGAACCTCTCTAATATTCGATATAAATCCCGCGCGGGATTTAAACTAGCCAATATAACCATGGCTAGACGAGCGCTGATTGGCTGAAAACAGGCCCTCCGTACCGTACCATGGTATAAGCATAATTATATTGACCGCAATTATATTGACCACTTATTATTGACCACTTAGCCCGAGGACTTATTATTGCCCTCATAATCGGTCAATATATGAAATATAGACCTCGTAAAAGACCTCGGGGACCTCGGTCTTTTACTCGTTCTATATTTCATAATTATAATTATTGACCTCTTTAACCGTGCAATAATAGATACTTATTGGTCATAAACCCTCGGCCTCCTCATTTATTGTATACCGGTACGCGGTACTCATGATTCTGGCAAGATCTATTCGTGGTCAAAGAAATGCGACCCGAGAGTCATAAGTAGTGCCGCGTGTCCACTTCACATCATGCATATGCATGTTCCCAAAAAATAATGATCCGAGGGCCACAGGCGCTAGGCGCAGGCCCCATGACCCATGCGCCTCGCAGCTTGGCGCTGCTTTCGGCACGTGGGTTGGATTTCGTTGGCCACGAATGTGAACCAGCCAGTCGTGAAAATGTATGCCATGCCCATAATATTATAAATGAAGTTGATTGTTCCAACAGCGTTGCGAATAGCTATACTGGCTCTCAACGTCTGTTTATCACAACTCCATGAGCGACTCTGACTCACGCTGCTACCTGGAGCTTCACGAGGTGTTTGTCGCGCCGGAAACAAAATAGCGTCTCTGTAAGTTTGCATCCCTGGTGATTGGCCTGGATAGCAGTATATAAGTGGTGCTTTTCAGGCACAATCTTCCTCAGCCTACTCAAGCTCAACTGATGAGGGGTTAATTCCCCGAAACACCGTGTATTGAGCAGGGAGTGGTGCTTTCTTGCAGGCTTGCCGAGTGGAAGGTGCGACGTGCTCCTCATGTGCTCCGGATGGCAGTCGTGAGTCAGTCAAGTGTCAAGTTCGGCAAGAAGCGTGTGTTCCTAGTTGGAACAATCAACTTCATGACTATTACCGCCGAAGTCGCAACTTCTAAGTTCGAATATTATAAATCTATAATTATTAATATCAAGAGTCCATAACCCCCATATACATGTATGTGGTCATGGACTCTTGATATTATTATTATTATTGTAGATGAGAAAAGGACATATGGATACGAGTTAAGAGTAACTCTCCATCACTGTAACATGATACTTTATACAGTCAGAAAGTGCAATAACTTGGCACAAAACTGACAGAGTACTCATAACATTCGACGTCCTGACACCTAGCCATATGTCCTTTTCTCATCTACATTTATTTATGGCTCAACATCCGAGTTTCATATTATTATTATTATTATTATTATTATTGAAGAAATGATGAACAAAAAATTGTACTTCGAACTAGTTTTCGCACAACACTCCTCAGGAAGCTACGTTGTACTAATGAAAAACAATCCAGAAAGATACTAATAAAGAGAAATGGAGTGAGAAGAAACAACACCTATGAAAATGATAATCCTAGCACTAAGGTAATAACAGGAAAAACTGCGAAAGCACTTAACGAACGCAGTTTTTCCTGTTATTACCTTAGTGCTAGGATTATCATTTTCATAGGTGTTGTTTCTTCTCACTCCATTTCTCTTTATTAGTATCTTTCTGGATTGTTTTTCATTAGTACAACGTAGCTTCCTGAGGAGTGTTGTGCGAAAACTAGTTCGAAGTACAATTTTTTGTTCATCATTTTTTCCATATCACATTATTATTATTATTATTATTATTATTATTATTTTAACTGGTTTGAGGGAAAGAGACAAACGGGAAAAGTCTGAAGAAAAAACCACCAACACCACCAGGACTCGAACCAGGGACCTTCGCTTGTAGCCAGCGATGCTCTAACCACTGAGCTATGGTGTAGTCGTCATCCCAGCAGAGGCCGTTCAACATTTTCTTCAGACTTCGTAACTCACACTTCCTATGAATCCACACAGGCGGGTGGGACGCAGCCCTCACTGTAACCCACACACTTCACGTACAAACTAGCACGCGGGGAGCCCCAAGTCATAAAATATTAACTGGTTTGAGGGAAAGAGACAAACGGGAAAAGTCTGAAGAAAAAATTGACTGTCACCACCAGGACTTATTATTATTATTATTATTATTATTATTATTATTATTAATATTATGAACCGGAGCTAGCTGCCAGTCGTGAAAACTCATGACTGAGGATCATTGAGCGTTCACCGCAATCAATAACTAGACAAGCTGAATTTTGTGTATACTTTATTCATCAACCACCATGACCACCACGGCATCGGCCGATCGGTGACTATGCACTTGGAGGTTGGAATAGCCTGCGCTGAACAGATCTTGTCATGACCCAGTATAATAATCAGGCATCTTCCCGTAGTGAATACTCTGTTGTCATGAGTCTGCTGCGTGCCCGTCTCTCCTTCTCTTCACTGAGATCCAGCATCCTTTGTCCATGGTGCTTGTTCTCGTGGTGGTTTCCCGGCCCATCGTTTTGTGGATAGTGCTCTCGTGGTGGTCGAGGCTTGCCTTTTTACATATTTTTTCTGATTTTCTATACTGTGTTATCACTAATTTTGTCTACCAAGTTTTTGTTTTGTTTTTGTTGTTTCTCTGGATGTTGTTATTAGTATAGACTCGGATGGAGAGCCAATGATTAATTATTTATAGTAAAGAATACGATGGGTGACTGGCCCGAAACGTCAATAATTTGTCGACAGCAATTTTCATCCAGCGCATGCGCCAAGAATGAATAGCAACTAAATAAAGAGGTTGTCAGTTGACAAAAAAAATCAACGGGTTCGCGTACCGGGCAGGTCAAGAACAAGAAGTCGTACAACTCCCTGGTCAAGAACCACCTTTCCGCTTCCGTGGGACGCCACCACCCCCTGATCAGGCGTCAGATGCGGCTCCTAAATGGTGGAGGAGGATAGATCAGATCCACCAACAATAGGCCAAAGGCTTAAATCCCATTTGCCACATCCACGTTTTACTCATGCCAGGCCACGAGTTCCCAATTAACTGTGGGTCGCAGCACGGTTGGAAAAATCCTTCCGCTTCCAAGCAGTTGATAGATCCCCTTTTATTTAAAAAGAAAAAAGAAAAGAAAAGCAGCTGGAGCTGATTGCCAAGTAACTGGTGGCAGACTAGGCGTTTCCCAAATCGGCCGAAAACAGTGGTTTGAAGAAATCACCTATCTTTTCGCCGAATACGCAATTTTCGCGCTGAATTCGCCGAAAATCGATGTTTTGGTGCCTCAACAGAATGCAAATACAATTGTTGTAGCCATTATCTGCGAAAGGTGACTGTGACTTAAGGTCAGCAGGAAATGACGCCGAAATCAATGGCTGTCAAGAAATCGCCGATAATTGCGCCGATTGACAAATTTCGCGCTAAATTCGCTGAAAATGGATGTTTTAGTGCCTCTACAGCGTGCAAGTAAATTCACATCTGTACTGGGACAGGTAACTTGAAGTACTGCTTTGAGCCGAATTCTGACTTTGGGGCTAATAATATGGCCGAATTTGGACGTTCTCTTAGCCGATCGAAAAGCCGATTAGGCGTGAGACTCGGATGGAAGCTGCCTTTTCTTCCTTTTTTTTGAAAAACAGGGCGATCAGCTGCAGGATCACAAGCTTTTTGGTACCGAAATCAGGGTGTTATAAATGAAAAATTAGAAAAAAGGTGCATTGCTCAAATTTTACAAAAATTGCCAATAATTCCCGTTTTAAAATCACACCAATGATTCCCGAAATTATGCCGGCACATTCCCCGGAAGCCTAATGCCGACGGCACAAACACACAAACACACACGAAATGAAAGCTGTGTGGAC